CAGGATCCTGGCCTTGCCCGGCGCTGCGGAGGGGAGGGCGGGGGAGGGGAGGTCGCCGTCGGCGTCGGTCGCCCGCCCAAGGCCAGCGGGGGCGCGGGGCCCATGCACTTCAACATGCAGTTGACCAGGATCCTGGCCTCGTCGGGCGCTGCGGAGGGGAGGACGGGGGAGGGGAGGTCGCCGTCGGTCAGACCGGCGGGGCGCGGGCCGCGGGGCGCGTGCCCTTTGACATGCAGTTCACCAGGATCTTGGCCTCGCCCTGCGCTGCGGAGGGGAGGGCGGGGGAGAGGAGCAGGTCACCGTCGGTCGGCCGCCCAAGGCCAGCAGGGCGCGCGGCCCATGCACTTCAACATGCAGTTGAACAGGATCTTGGCCTTGCCCGGCGCTGCGGAGGGGATGACGGGGCAGGGGAGGTCACCGTCGGTCAGACCGGCGGGCGCGCGGGGCAAGGGGCCCGTGCACTTTGACATGCAGTTCACCAGGATCCTGGCCTCGCCCGGCGCTGCGGAGTGGGAGGGCGGGGGAGGGGAGCAGGTCCCCGTCAGTCTATCGCACAAGGCCAGTGGGACGCAGATGCAGCCCTGCACTATTTTGACTCGAAGTTCAGCACGAGCCTGGGCTGACCCGGGGCTCCGTTGTCCGTGAACGGAGAATTTGAGGGGGGTTGAGCGTCAGGCAGCACCACAATACCCGCGCTTCCGCGCTTTGGTTGTCTTAGCTTAGGCTGCTCGCGTTGATTTTTTTTTGCCCTCGTTTTTAATTTTAACCTGTTTCTCTTTGTGTCCCTAACAGATATGAGCAGACATCCTTCATCTTCTGTTGAAATTCCACATGAATCTGAGTTTATGGATCAAGTTTTTGAAGGTAAACTGGACTCCTAAGAATGTTGGAACAGATTTGTTATGATGATTTGCTTACTTACTTTATCTTGGTTTTTAGGTACCCAATCGGTTGAAACCCCAGTAGCAATGTCTGTTCAAGCTGAGGTCAGAACCTTTGGTCAGTATAAATAATTTAGATAGAAGTTTTTCCTTTCTCTGTTTTTTCACCTTATCACTACAGGTTCCCTATCAAGTTGTATTTTTACTATGTACATGTTTTATTTTTCAGACGATGCATTGTTTGTGACTTCACAATTTCCTGTAGTGGATGACTCAGATGATCAGGAGGACTTTTTGAGCACTGTCAGTTCTGTAGAGGATTTGGAGGCAGATAGTGATACTGAGACAACTGGTCACGATGTGGATGGGGGTATCATTCCACCTCAGCAAGAAGACCCCTTGTATTTAGGTGCTCCTATCACAGTTGAAGAGAGTGTGCTTTCAATCTTCTCTTTTATTCAATCAGAAAATTTAAGCGGAGCAGGTGCTGCTAAATTGTTAAAATTAGTTGAACTCCACTGCCCCAAACCTAATCATTGTGTATCTAGTCTTTACAATTTATTTCATCAATTTGAACATGTTAAGACTCCTCTGCAATCTTACTTTTATTGTAACCAGTGCTTGAAAGTTAGAACTTCCTTGACAGATATCTGTGATGAATGTAAACTTTTGAAACCCTCTGTTGACCAGGTCGTAGTTTTATCTCTAGTTGAACAGCTAACACAATTGTATGCTCGCTCAGAATTTATTGAAGATATTCAGTACAGGTTTAAGAGGGTAAAGATGAATCCCAACAATTTAGAAGATATTTTTGATGGCTCAGTTTATAAAAAGGCAATGCAGGATTTATCATCAGAAAAGTATAATATTTCATTTATGTGGAATACCGACGGCGTTTGTCTTTATGATTCTTCAAAACTGCAACTGTGGCCTTTATACTTAGTCATTAATGAACTTCCACCAGAAAAGAGGTTCAAGCGTGAAAACTTGATTCTTGTGGCTGTGTATATTGGTGAATCAAAACCAAATGTGAATGTTTATTTAAAACATGTGTATCCCCTTGTGGACCAGTTAAGGGAAGGCATCAGTGTTAGTGTTGCTGGCGAAGAAGACCCTGTAGTAGTTAAATGTTGTATAATATGTGGCACCTGTGATTCCCCAGCAAAAGCTATGATGTTTAATATGAAGCTCTTTAATGGATTTTTCTCATGTCCAATGTGCCTCAGTAAAGGGGAAAAGTCTGAGAGATCTGATGATGTTTTTGTCCATCCATATGAAGAGGATGCTATTTTAAGGACTGATGAGAGTTATGAGGAAGATGCAATTCTGTCCTGTGTTTCCAACATCAATGTAGCCAAATCAGCAAGAATAGCATCTCATGGTGTGAAGGGCCCATCATACCTTTACTTAATGGTACCCCAGATGATATGTTCAACATCAGTAGACACAATGCACTTTTTGTACCTTGGTATAATGCGCCAGCTTTTGCAACTGTGGTTTGATAAATCTCACAAGGACGAAGAGTACTCTTTGTACAAAATTGTCAAAGTTGTGAGTACTTTGTTAGTGTCCATCAGGCCACCACATTTTGTGAAAAGATTACCAAGATCCTTGCAAAATTCTGCAAATTACAAGGCCTTTGAATTGTTGATGTTATTGTACTACTATCTTCTTCCAGTTTTACAGGGACAAATGAAACAAATTTATTTCCACAACTTTAAATTGCTAATAGCAGGTGTGTCCTTGTTAAATAAGCAAAGTGTGTCATTTGCTGATATTGAAGAAGCTGAAGTATTGGTAAAACAATTTGTGAAGGACTTTCAAGAGTTGTTCGGATTTAGAAATATGTCCTTTAATGTTCACTTGATTTTGCATCTTCCTTCTACCGTCAAAGCTCTTGGTCCGGCTTGTCTTACAACATGCTTTAGATTCGAAGACCTTAATGGGAAACTTCGTAATATGATCCATGGATCCCGATATGCTGGCTCACAGTTATCCTCCAATCTGTTCTCATTTTTAAACTTGCCTAAAGTAGTACATGACTTAAAGAGTGAAAATGTTAAGAAATTTTGTACAAATGTTCACAAAAACTGGAAAAGAGTCAGAATTATTGAACTGATTTTTGAGAAGTGCTATTCTGTTGGAAGATATTGTAAAGTAGAAAATATTGCACCTTGGTTGGATGAGCTCTTGATGCATACTAACTATGAAAGTCTTTTCTCATTCCACCGTATAAAACTGAGAGGCATTTTAATAACATCAGAAAATTATCATAAAAGCAAGTGCAGTATCTCTCACTATGTACAATATTGCACCAATGGTATCAATAAGTATGGTAGTATCCGTGGCTTTGTGAAGATTACTAAGTGCACTTGTACAGAAAAGTGTTCGTGTCCAGGACAGTACTTTGCCATTGTCACTCAATATAGTAATGAAAATTGCTTCACAACAGCCAACCCCCCGCACTCTATTCAACACATCCAAAAGTGTGCCAAAACTGAAACAATTGAGGCTGTTCCTATTTCTTCAATTTCAAATGTGTGCATCTGTATAAAAATTGATGAATCGTTGTACCTATGTACTCCCCTTAATGAAATGGAAATGTACAACTAAGAAAAATACAATTGCTATGGAAAGTATCCCTCCTATTTCATTCCTCATCCTTATGACCGACGCTTGTCTAGAGAAGCATTACATGGGGAGAAAATAAGCCAATCTAGCCTGGAGAGAGAGGGGGGGGGCAGCGCGGGGCCGCGGGGCCCGCGTCTGCGTCCCCTCTTTCACGCTCCTCGCAATTTCTCATACTGGTTGGCGGCGTGCACCGGCGCGGGCCTCGCGGGCCTGGGCGTTCCCTTGGCCGCCGGGATTCGCAACCTTTGGCGTTTTCTCTGCGACGAAGCGACGCGATTCGAATCTCCAAGTGCACAGAAATTTGCGTCGAGTTCGGCTTTTTTCTGCGTTCTTTTCGTGTCGCCAACGCCAAAAGGAGACGAATAAAACAACGACCTAGGCGAGAAGTTACAGGTGGGCACAGATAAAGAAGCCCGCGCTAAAAGCCAGTTGAACGCGAGAGGACGGGCACCGTTTCTGGAAGTATTCGCGTTCTTCTTGACTTGATACCGTGTTGTCCCGTGCGCTTTCTTCGCTCGACGAAAGCAACAGCGCACCAACTTCGCTTCAAATCACCACGAACTCTGCGGAATATTTTCGCCTGCCTCATACACCAAGAAAACGGGAATAGCCGTCCTGGATTTTTACCCGGGCAATTCGTTCTCGAGTTATCGTGATGACAGACAAACACACACACAAACAGACAGACAGACAGACGCGAAACTTTTTGATCATCACTGGAGTAATAGGCTTCGCTAATCGCTCAGCCAACAAGCAGCCATAAACAAATGATACCTCAATATGAGAACTAGGTAGATGTACGCCAGACCACGTACCGCGTAACAGGCTTCGCGATACCTCACGAAACAATGTTACGCTGCGACGCGCCTGACCTACATCTACCTAGGCCTGCGGCGCTGACACCCGAGTCGAGGAAAAGTCGTAAGTACGCATTCAGACCCAAAAGTCACAAATTTTGTTCCTCGGGGTTTTATTTTTAACGAGTTACCCTACCGGAGACCATCAAATATCTGAGGAAAAACATAGAAATGTTTTGCGGTCATTTTCGTGTAGAAAAATCCCTCTTGGTGCCTAAACGGTTGAAGATAGTGCCAAATAGACGAAATTTTGATGAGTTACCTCAAAGGAATCAGTAAAACATATTTTTAACAAGCAGGCCCGCCCTTCCGCCAAACGAAGTTGCCAGCTCCGCTTCACTCCGCCGGCAACTCCGTTCGGCAGGGGCCGGGCCTGCTTGGCCTGCCGGCGGCGATGGTCGGGCCTGCGGCCCGACCATTTATGTCACGCGGTTTGCTGAAGAACATGATCGACTGATTAAGCGGGCCTTCGGCCCGCTTAAACCCGTCATCTTTGAGTTTGCCCTAAAGACTTGAGAAAGGGATGTAACGGTGAAGCACCGCTACTACAACCCACCCTTCTGCTCAGAAAACTTTTTTGGGGGTTGGGGAGAGTTTCCTTTCTATTTTGCGGTTTTTAGGCCTTTTTAGCCCGCCCTTCTGCTTTGAAAAAGCTATCCATCGGGCTTATGCAAACGACCTCGTGTGTGTCTGTGTGTCTGTGTGTCTGTCGGTGTGTCTGTCTGTCTGTCTGTTCCACTAGAAGGAGATGTGCTAGAGACTTCAAATTTTCAGGGTATCTTAAGGTTCACTCCTAGAAAACGAAACGCCTACGGCAAATCCTGCCAACCAACCCTAAGGGGCTGAAAGGGGTTATCAAAGAAAAGGGGGTAGGTCAAAAAAGTCAGAAAAAAATATTTTTTTTATGGTCTCCTAAGGGGTAACTCGTCAAAGTAGAGCCCTTTGGGCGAAAATTTCGTCCGTTTTGCTCTATCTCTCACCGTTTGGGCGCTGGAGGGAGTTTCTCTCACAAAAGTGGCCCAAAAATAAATTTATTAATTTCCGAAAATATTGGATGGTCTCCTAAGGGGTAACTCGTCAAAGTAGAGCCCTATGGGCGTAAATTTCATCCGTTTCGCTCTATCTCTAACCGTTTAGGCGCTAGAGGGTCTTTTTTGACGAAAATAAGCTAAAAATTGCCATAGTGAACAATAAGTTGTAGAAAAAGGCGTAAAAACCGCAAAATAGAAAGGAAACTCTCCCCCCAACCCCCAAAAAACGTTTTCTAAGCAGAAGGGTGGGTTGTAGTCGCGGTGCTTCACCGTTACATCCCTTTCTCGTGTCTACAAGGCAAACTCAAAGATGACGGGTTTAAGCGGGCCGAAGGCCCGCTACATCATTCGATCATGTTCTTCTGCAAATCGCGTGACAGAAATGGTCGGGCCGCAGGCCCGACCATCGCCGCCGGCAGGCCAAGCAGGCCCGGCCCCTGCCGAACGGAGTTGCCGGCGGAGCGAAGCGGAGCTGGCAACTTCGTTTGGCGGAAGGGTGGGCCTGCTTGTTTTCACTGTCAGAGCTGCCAGGTGCACCGAAGCGATGATTTAAACATCGGATCACGTTCAGCGAACATTTTTCATTAAGTTTTTCCTGTTTCAGAAAACATTTTGCTGGAACAGCAAACAGTTTGCTAACTTTACAAAGGCACACTTCTGTTTCAGCAAACACACTATTTTGCGTGAGTCTTGTATGCATGCGAATATAGTTTCGTACACTGGTTAAGGTAGCCATTTCCCGGCAAAGTCATGCACAAATTTGCACGTGTGTGATTTGTTTTACTCACATGCAGGTATGCAAAAATTTCAAACTTGGACATTCTGTGAATAATTTTACAACTTGGTCGTCGCTATGTAAAGAAGAGACCGTTCCTAGAGCGTTTAAGAATTGTACATTATGCTTGTACTTCAGATACATTTGAATTTGGCGCTCACTTCCAGTCTGCTATCGACCAGAAGTAGATGTACAAGGCCGAAATAGCGACAGCCGAGCACTGCACATACACTGCTCATCAAAATTAGCGGGCGGTTTTTTCAAACTGACGTAGATTCTATGTTTTTGGAGTAATGAAGCTAAGAATTGGCGTGCAGGCGTCCCAATCATTCATCTCGAGGCTCTGGAAGTGCGCAAGCCGTTGGCCACCCCCAAGGAGCTGTACCCTAGAGTGGAGGAGGCTGATAAAACCGGCCGTAACAACTTCAAAATTGGCACTTTAAGGGCGCAGAAAGTCAAGATTTTTCGCGAGTCGCCCCAAATTGTTGTTCTCTTTCGAACGGTGTGAGCAAAATTGCGATGGGACCAACCCACCCCCTTCCACACTTACCCCCACCCCCTCGAAGGGGTGAGTTATGATTTTCGAATCGGACAACCCCCGGCCAAACGACCCCCGCAAACACGCAACCCCATTTTGAAAATCGGCCATTTTGGAACGTTAGGTTTCGGCATGAAACATTCAGGAATGACCCCTTTTGCCATTTGGAACACATCCATACAGAGAAACCCGATGTCAACATCTTCAACCCCTTAACAGAGGGGATCTACCCCCGAGTAACTGCGTAGCGCAACCCGATAGTCGCAATGTAAAATGTTCCTTCAAAATTAAATAAAATTCAAATTTCCCGCCACTCCCGGGTTGAGGGCTACCGGTAATGGTTTCTGGCAGTCAGTATGTCGTCCTCTAGGCTCATTTTTAGCCCACCCTTCTGCTCTGAAAAAGCTATCCAGCGGGCTTATGCAAACGACCTCGTGTCTGTCTGTCTGTGTGTCTGGCTGTCTGTCGGTCTGTCTGTTGCACTAGAAGGAGATGTGCTAGACACTTGAAATTTTCAGGGTATCTTAAGGTTCACTCCTAGAGAACGAAACGCCTACGGCAAATCCTGGCAACCACTCCAAAGGGTGTTAATGGGGGTATCCAAGGTTCAAAAATTCTCCCCAAAAGGGGTAACTCGACAAAGTAGAGCCCTTTGGGCGAAAATTTCGTCCATTTCGCTAACCGTTTGGGCGCTAGAGGGTCTTTTTTGACGAAAAAAAGCTAAAAATTGCCAAAGTGAGCAATAAGGTGTAGAAAAAGGCCTAAAAACCGCAAAATAGAAAGGAAACTCTTCCCCCACCCCCTAAAAACGATTTCTAAGCAGAAGGGTGGGTTGTAGTCGCGGTGCTTCACCTTTACATCCCTTTCTCAAGTCTTTGGGGCAAACTCAAAGACGACAGGTTTAAGCGGGCCGAAGGCCCGCTACATCATTCGATCATGTTCTTCAGCACATCGCGTGACAGATGTGGTCGTGCCGCTGGCCCGACCATCGCCGCCAGCAGGCCAAGCAGGCCCAGCCCCTGCCGAACGGAGTTGCCGGCGGAGCGAAGCGTAGCTGGCATCTTCGTTTGGTGGAAGGGCGGGCCTGCTTTTTTACGTTTAGGCCCCTATGTAGCGTTTGGAATGGAGTAGGTAGTCGTCACCAACGAATTATCTATATTAACGCATTTGAAATTTGAATTTCCCGCCCAGCCGCGCCTATGGGTCGGAACTTCCGGCACTGCGGGTCAAAATGTTCGTTTGGGTTCATTGTACGACTGTGCAATATTTCATGCTTTCCTCACAAAATGCAGAATTATTTTGATAACCGCCTAGACTATTACCTCTATGCTGAAATGCTGGAGGTGCTGGTGGTGTGGTACCCGATTGGAAAAAGGTTTTGGCAGATGAAGGGGTAGTACCTCCACAAATTTAAAGTCGCCATCAACGAAGACACTGCTCATCTTTATCCTTTGCATCTTGCAAAGCATCAGAGCGTACGTTACTATTAACTTTGTGAAAACTTTTGTCACAGGTACCTTTCCATCAGTCAGTTTCACATCGTTTCTGTTGTGTTTAAACAGATGGCTGGGACAAGAGCGCTGTCCTGCTCTTCCCCTCCAAATACAAGGAATAGCAGCCCCTTCTCAATAGTGTGGCAGGCACTGTCAGAACCATTGATTTATATTAGCTTGTAGCAATGGAGATGAAGTCAGTACACTATAGAATATTCACTTCAGACGAGTGCATGTGAAGAGGTATCAGAGCTTGGCAGACCCCTACTTCACTGCCAGAGATGTGCA